TCCCTGTCCCTCACTCCCTGTCCCCTCACTCCCTGCCCCTCACTCCGTGTCCCTCACTCCCTGTCCCCTCACTCCCTGTCCCTCACTCTCAGTCCCTCACTCCCTGTCCCTCACAGCCTGTCCCTCACTCCCTGCCCCTCACTCCCTGTCCCCTCTCTCTCTGTCCCTCACTCCCTGCCCCTCACTCTCCGTCCCTCACTCCCTGCCCCTCACTCCCTGTCCCTCACTCCCTGTCCCCTCACTCCCTGTCCCTCACTCCCTGTCCCCTCACTCTCTGTCCCTCTCTCCCTGTCCCTCACTCCCTGTCCCCTCACTCCCTGCCCCTCACTCCCTGTCCCTTACTCCCTGTCCCCTCACTCTCTTACCCCTCTCCCTCTGTCCCCGTCCCTGATTCCTGCCCTCATCCTCCTTCTCCTGCATAGTCTGGGGTCATTTCAGGTCCTTGTTGTCACCTCAATGCAGGGGGTTTCTCTCTCCCCTCGCAGTTTGCTGCCCCCCTTATTGGCTGCCGATTGCCCCTGGGTCTTGCTGCATCTGCTGTGAGGGGCGCCGTGTCCCCAGGAGCATTGGGTCTGGCCCTACTCAGGCCCAGCCTTCTGCTCACCCTGGCTGTTCCGGGGCATCCTTTCTGCTGTTCAATCTCCCAGATAACGTGGCCACTGACCCTCATGGGGCCCCAGTACTGCTGGATGGCTGCTTCCCAGGCGATGTCCCCTCTTTGTGCTTGGCGACGGGTGGCACCTAGTGTCCCCTCTGTGCTGCCCACTGTGCTCTGAGAGGCCTCGGTGGCCCTGGTCATGCTGAGTAGGTAGGGTGCCCCTGTGGCAGATCCAAGGGACATCAAGAGTGCACTTCTAGGCAGGTCTAACTACAGCCATGGGTCTGGGCGCCAGGCTGCATTGCCATGGCCCGAGGCTGCAGTGCCCCCAGGACCACCTGAGAGCCGCACCTGTTGGAACCTCAATCGAAACAGAGCAGTGGCAGGTGATGTCTAAGGGTGGCTTGCCCTGTCTACCTGTCAGGCGGTAGCAGGGTCCCTCGCCCCATGGAGCCCTAGAGAGAGGCTGGGCTGATGGCTGCCTGCCACAGATGGGACCCTCCCAGAGGACCAATGTGGCCAGAGGCAAACGCTCTCAGACTCCATGGGGCCCACATGTCCAGCAGGCCCCCGGGGACGTGTGGGCCTGGGCCTCTGTGCTGTCCTGCTGGCCCCTGAGTACCTGCAGCCGGAGCAGGACCCTTGTGGAGCCCCTGCAGCCTGGGTCCTCAGAGCGTATTGGACCCGGTCTCTGAACCCGCTTTTCTTGTGTGAAGGATGAGAAGCCTTTGGTTTTGTCAGAGGAAACGCAGGAGCATTCCCAGACCCCCACTGTTACTTTAAATAACCCGGCTCAACTCAAAGAACCCGGTTTCCCGGGTTAGGGAGTCCTGACTGGGTGGAGGGAGCTGGATTGCTAACCGCAGAGGGCACCTGGTGTCTGTGGTGCCGTGGGAAGCCTTGGGCTTCCTGGGAGTCTCCTGGGTTGGGAGGCCATCAGCCATGACTTAGCTGGGGACCCACAGGGCAGTTGTCTCTATCTTCCTCACTTTGTAGACGAGGAAACTGAGTCATGGAAGGGTTGGATAGCTCGCCCAAGGTCATTTGTCTGTAAGCACATCAGTCACTGCAGCCTAGGTACAGTGACGGACCCAGAGGGGATCTCTCACCTTGCCCCAGCAGCATCTGTAGCTGCCTTCACCCATTTTGCCTCTGCTCTGCCCCCATCGGCACCTCCCCTCATCTGCCCCACCTGCACCTATTTGCCCCTCCTGCCCCCATCTGCCCCTGCCCCCATCTGCCCCTCCTGTCCCCATCTGCCCCTGCCCCCATCTGCCCCTCCTGCCCCCATCTGCCCCTGTGCCCCATCTGCCCCTGGCCCCCATCTGCCCCTGCCCCCCATTTGCCCCTCCTGCACCCGTCTGCCCCTGCTCCCCCTCTTTCCACACATGCTCACCAGCTTATGGGCAGGTTCACCCCTTCATTGCTGTCCTCTAACCAGATGACTCACCTTTATTTCCAGCCTGATCTTGGCCCTGAGCCTCAGACTGGAACCCATGTCCTGAGGACAACAGAGCTCATCCCACAAGCCGGCCCTCCCCAGGTCCCCCACTCAGTAAGTGCGCTGCTCCCAACCAATGGCTCAGACTGAATCCTGGAGTCCCACATAGCCCTTGCTGTGCCCTGGCTCCACACCCAAACTCTTAGCAGGCCAGCCCTTCCCCCAGCCCATATTCCAACATGGGCACACTTCTCTTTGGACCCCCACCTGTCCCTTTCCCAAACTAACTTTTCTCAGTGGAGGCCTCACTGCAGACGTGGAGACATTCAACTGTTTGCTGGCAGTCACAGGGCTGTGAGGGGACAGGGGCAGCCCAGGCTCTGTCCAGATCTGCCTCCTCCTGGCTCCAGGGCAGTGAAACCTGACCTCTCAACACCCATCCCTCCAGCTTGCAAGGCACTCGCCTCTGGACTGAGTGGATGGTCCTCGCTACCCTCGGACTTCACTTAAAGGTTAGTCTGTGAGGACAGGCACTGGCAGTTCTTTTTCCCAACCTCACCACCCCAGGGGCCAGCTTTGAGGCCTTCTGCTCTAAAGGAATTTTCCAGAAGGGGCCTTGGGCCTCGTCTGCCCCCTCCCACCTCCCAGGGATCCATCTTTGGGCCCTTTCATGGCCTGAGAGAACCCTGCGCAGCCAGACTGCATCCAGGCCTCTACCTGTCAGGGTCAGACATGTGTACACAGGTGGGCTAGTCCCCAGAACTGAGGATGGGATGGAGACCTCCCCAGGAGGTCATACCAGAGTCACCTCAGTGCTGAGTGGGATCTTCCTTCCAGCATTAGGGCAAGCTGGGTGGAGGCTGGGAGTGTCTAGTAGGGTCCGGCAATGGCCAAACTCTGTTGTCCCAAAGGGCCCTGGTGGGCAGTGAAGGAGCGAGGAATCATCCCAGAAAGGTCTCCCCCACTCCCCACTCCACTCCCTGCACCCCCCTAGCCGGTCTGGAGGAGCTGTGGGAGGTCTAAACCCAAGTTCCTTCCCTGCTCCCTTGAGGCCCACCCCTCCTAACCCTCCATCCCCGAGGGAGTTGGTTCTTCATCCCCCCTTCACCTCCCCCCACACAAAGGCTCCCCACCTGGGTTGGTGGGGAATCCGTAGTTCAGGGGCCTGCCCTTCCACAGCTATGATTGTGTTGGGGGAGGCAAGCCTCCACAGACCTGATCCCACCCCACCCTGACTGTCTCCCACCAGGTTTCTGGTCTGATTTGGTCTGGGGTGAGAGAGGAAAAGTGGGAAGGAGGAGAAAGGTGATGTGGGTAGGGGTAAGGGGGAGGGAAGGGGTAGGGAGAAAGTGGGGGAGGGAAGTGGGGGGAGGAGGAAGGGGAGGGGGAGGAGAATGGAAGGGGAAAGGGAACTTGGGGGAGGGGAGAAGGGGTGGGCAGGGGAGGGAAAGTCTCCCCAGGAAGGGCCCCTCCCCTCCTCACTTGTTAGTCCATTAGTGTGGGGGGCTGTGTCTTTGCTCCCCCCACCTGCAAGCAGGGCTCATTGTCTGGGGCCCATTGTGTGGGAAAGAAAGCCTCATTGGCAGGGCATCAGTTTGTGATCATCTGCTCCCTGGCCCCGATTGGCTGGATGAGAAGAGGGCTTCCCAGGGCGTGGGGACACAGAAGTTTGTGCAGCAACTTTTTCCGGCATGAAGTGACCGTGTGTCCAGCTTCGGAGTGGAGGTGTGCCCGCCCAGCCAGGATGATGCTCTGTGGGACCTTCCTGGGTGCGTACCTCCCCCCAGCCCCGTGCAACCCTCCCTCGGCCTGTTCATATGTTTCTGCCAAGACGCCAAAGGGACTAATTAGCTGAGTGTCCCGTCAGTGCTCAGTGCTCTTTTCTGGGCAGCCAGAAAGGAGGTGACAGACACATGCTCCCTCCGGAGCGAGGCCAGGGCCCTGGAAACTGGCCTGACACCTCCCCTTCCAGCTGATCGTGTGGTTTGTGGAAATAGCCTCACGTGGCGAGGCTGCCCTGTCTATGGGCTTGTCCCCAAAGGTTGCAGGTGGGAAGGCAATGGGCAGGAGTGCATGTGTGTCCAAGAGCAGGGGCTCTGAGGCTCTGGGGGAAGGCCGGGCGAAAAGAAGGAGTGAGTGCACCTCATGTCTTTTGTGCTTGTGACTGGAGATGTCCACCTGGGACTTACTGTAGTAATGGGGCTTTGGCTGGGGCCACTGATGCTTATGTTCCCATCACATGCAAACTCACTCTGTGTGTGTGAAACACTAACACAGTATTAGAGCAAGGGTTAGTATGTGAGCTCCACAATAATCTCCCACATGTGTGTTTGTGGGTATAAGTATGTTCACACTGTGTCAAAAGGTTGGTGCGTTTGATATCTCAGCATGAAACAGTCTCACAATATGGCCCAGAGCGTGTGTGTGCGTGCGTGTGTGTGTGTGTGTGTGTGTGTATGAGAGAAGCTCACAACCAGGCGAGTGTGAGACAGGCACACAAAGTCAGCCCAGGGTGTTGGTAAGAGTGGCTCTGGGTTTTGTTTGCTCCATCTGCCAGAGCCTGCCTGGGGCAGCACCCCCCTCGCCCTCAGCTGTTCGTATACAATATTAATGCTGACCATCTCGCTCGCACACAACGGCCCTAATTGTCGTCTGCAGCTTTAAGGCGGGCGCCCATCTGCAGGGACGCTTTCAGAGGGAACAAGGAAACTCTCACCCCCAGCTGGTCACCGGAGAAGGTGGTGCCAATTACAGATGCAGAAAGTTCAGACCAAAATTACTTGAAAGAGTTTTTATGAAGCAAATGAACTGACACTTGGAATGTCTGTGTGCAGATTTGCACAAGTAATTGCACTTTATTTGAAATGATCTTACCGGCTAAGCGACCATTAAGCCTGCTCCACCGGCTTCCACAAAGCACTTCCTTAGCAAGCACTGCAGCCACAAGTTTGGTTTTGCAAATCTCGCCTTTTCTCCCCGTGTGGAGTTGGAGGACCCTGCATTCAGACAGATTGTTTCCCTGAGGATCTTCCTAAACTTAAAAGTCTCATGCAACTTCTCCATGGATTTTTATGAAATAAAGTTTAAAGGAACAATGTGCATCACGCTTAGTTATGGGAAAGACAATATTTTATGATTTAAAAAACTCCTGACAGTGTTTCACCCCGCGTGGGGAAGAAAGTTTTCGGTCTACCTTGCTGTGGTCACTTAGAGGCAGAGCCGGGATCCTCGTCTGGAACGGCCTCTGCCGGCGCGGCCGCGGCGATCGCCGGCCTGGCTCGGGCTCGCGCCGAGAACAAAGCCCGGGCCTGGCGCGGGAGCGCTGTCCGAAGTGCTGATCCAGTCGCGGGCGCGCCTGCCGCCCCGGCGCGCGGCCTGAAGCCGCGCCGAGCCTCGGACTCTTGCCTGCAAAGTCCCTTCCTCCTCCTTTCCTGTGACTCCTCCTTTGTTCTCTTGATGGAGTCAGCTAAAGATTTTGAACCTTCATTCATCAAAACTCATCTTCCGAAACGGCTCAGTGGGAGCTCCCAGAGCTTCTCTCCAGGTTCTTGGAACCGGCACCGATTTGAAGTTTCCCAGCACGTTCCAAATGCTAGCACGGAGCAGCCTCAGGTGGAGTCCAGAGCCCCATTCCCGACCACCAGAGCCACCCCCTCAGGAAGCCGCGCTTACTCAACGGAGGAGGGGTGAAGTACTGAGAGACTTAGGTTTGCGCAAATATAATTTGGGTTACCTGAAAAAACAATTATGCTGCACCAGGTCTTTTTGTGGCACATATTGATCTCTCCCTGATGTTACCTCTGTTTGCCGTTGTTTCCTAAGTTTGACCGTCACACATCTGAATTAAATACCTCCATGAAACACTGCGCGTTGCTGGGGAATACGGCTGATTCAGCACCGGCCCCCTTTGATTTCATCTTCATTGAGGAACAATGGCGAGCAGGTCTGTCTAAGCCTGCAGCCTGCCGATAAGAGTTTCATAGAATTTGTGAATGCCAAAGGTTTGGGATGTACAATATCCCAGCCCTCGCAGCGTGTCCGGAGGAGACAGAACACGGCTTTTCAGGAGAGCTCTCCGCGGGATATGTCCTTCTGTGCTAAGGGGTACGAGTTTACGAAAGGATAAAAACAATGGCAGGCAGTCATTGTAGGAACCTCAAAAACTATTCTCATTTGCCTAATTAATATTTCATCCTCAGCTTGACCAGTGAAGGCTTGTGTTTATTTCCTTTTGCTCAATCTAAAAGATTGCCCTGAGTACATTTTGTATCCTATTTGTTGAGAATAATGTTTGTGCGTATAGGAACTGAACATACTCACTGTAGGATGAAGCTCGGTCTACACATAATGTGGACGGCAGCACTGCGTGCTAAAAATAATTGCTTATGGAAGAGTTTTAGCTGATTTTCCAAACATGCTGTCTTAGAGAAAGCTAAATGTTTTAGTTCTGTCTCATTCATGCTTTTGGTGGCCTCAGACCTTCAGTGCTAATTAAGTTGGGGATGTTGTGTTCCTGCATAACTTTCCAAGAAATGCTATCTGCTGTCTGTTGAAATCTCTGCACTGAACTTCTGAGCCATGACTTTTACTGGCTCTCACTGTGGCCCGTGACAGTCCATTCTTTGCAGGTGTCTGAAATTCAGTTTGTGTCGTGTTTCACAATACAGTTTCTAACAACCTGATTATGATAACGGACAATTGTTTGCCTGATTCATAAGTAAGAAAAGGGAATTTGGATAGTAAGCAAGAATACCTTGACTCCTGGTTACTTTTACTGAGGAAATTCCTATATTTATCCCTGAATCTGGAAGAATATCACAAATTGACAGATGAGCTAGTGGACAATTGGGCTGCTTAAAGAGTGGATGGACACATCTACTGTGTGTGTTACGGATTTTTCTCCTCTTGATTTTCGTTGGATAGCTCCTTGCATGCAGTTTAAAAAAGACTCAAAAAGATAGAGCCTAGAACTTGAGTGGTATGCTCCCCTCTGGCTGAGATAAACTTAGCGGTTTAGGGCGTAGAGTACTTGTGCCTCAGGGATATCCAAGCTGTCTTTGAGGGGGTTTTATTATTTTAAAACTTAAAACAAAAAGTCAACATGTGATAAAAGAAAAAGATCTTTTTCTGACCCATTCTTTGTGTGTATAACTTTATTTTTTGGTCTGTGGCCATTAGTACCTTTTATGCACCTAAAAAAATACATATCCTTTTAAGTCACTGATCCCTGAATATGCAGATGAGCCAGTATGTCCCCCTCTTGGTTCATCTGAATAATAAATTCTGCAGTCCGTTTTTATGACGGTAGGTCATATTCCCAGCCACCAATAAATATTGTGAAGTGCTTTCGCTGCAGCCGTGCTAACCCAGGGCATCTGTCATTCCGGTTGCTGCTATTAGGAATTATTGGACTGAACCACTGAAGGAGAAAGCAGAGGGGGGTGAGCATGGCGCTCGTGACGCTCTCTGCCCTTTTGTGTGTTTTGCATAAAAAACTCCAATCGTGCTGCATATTAATTATAAATCCTTGTGGGTAAATGCAGGCACCTTCTGTTGGCTGAGGCTTGGAGCGGGAGACAGGGGTTCTGCTGGCCCGGGCACCTCTCACTCCCACGTCAGCAGATCCATCTCTCTGATGCTATACTGTAAATTTATTTCACCTCGGAGAGTAAACAGATATATTGGAGCCCCGAGGGTTCATGGGTAGCGTATTTACAAAGGAGCTCTCCGCCAGCCGTGCCACCGCTGCTAATGAGAGCCGTCATTAAGTAAATGAGACGTCGCCTTTAGCTGGCTTAGGAGTTCGCACACTGAGGGGAGAAGATATTTAATTGAGACCCGCACAGGCTCCCCACATGTGACCGCTGGAAGGGAGGCAGCTGCCTTTCCTCTCCTCCCCCGGCGCCCTGCACCCCCCATGTAAATTTCATGATTGCTTTCCGTGATGTCATTTTGAAAGAGGACAGACAATAGCTGTGGGGAAAGGTAAGTCAATGTTATGTTCTTTCGCTGACAAAGGCAGATATCCAGTGCCTGGCTTTTCTGGACAGGGAGAGGGCACGCCAGCGGAGTTAATTTCTAAGATGAAGGCTTTCTTTGCAGGAAAAGCAGGTCTGGGGATGGCTTTTTAAAACTGCTCTGTTGGTCTGAGGCTTTCTTCTCCTCCTGGGTCTGCCCATGGCTGTTTTCCTCCTCTTTCTCTGTCCCTCCCTGGCTTGCTCACGCACCTGGCCTCTCTGAGAGTCTAGTGGACACGTTGTGCGTCCAACAGAAAAGACATTGTGGGGAACCTTGTATCAAGACGAGAAACTTTGTGTGCATTTCTGGAGAGGAACGCAAATCCGTCTGCAGCCGTGGGACCCAGCTGCTACGTGCCTGGGGAAAACGCTGGTCCCTTGAGCAGAAGCTCTCTCTGGAGTGGGAACTTAGAGTTGGGGTACCTCGTGTGTGATCCCCCCACCCAAGACACCGAGCAGAGATGGTCATGTGAGCATTCTGTCTTTGCGTGTCACGTATTTCTAAACTTAAGGAACAACATCTAGGGTGCCTTATCTGTGGGATAGACGCACAGAACTGAACATCGGCCGTTCCTCTCAGTTCTTTTCTCACATGTGTTGGGGATCATGAGTGCTGTTGTTTAGGGTGTTGGTGTAACTGGATTTGTGTAGTTAAAACTAAGAATTAGTGTTGGCCAAGAAGTCGATATGAGCTCTGAGCAACGTGCTGCCATTTCCTGTAGGGTAACATGTTCTAGGGCTGTGGACTTTGTTCTGTCCATTGGATTCTCTTTCTTCTTTGTGAATCAAGAAAATAAACAAACCCACAGTGGCTCTTGTGTTCTGGCCTGGTGGGTCCCCACCATGAGCATCCCGCTTGCTCTTTCTGAGTCGCTAAGGGCTTTTCTTGTCTCAGCACCACCTTTGCATCAGTGGACATCATTGGCTGGTAAAGTTGGGCATTTAATTTCTGAAACAAAACATCTGAGAGGTGGGTCGAGTAGTAGGGTGTGAGCTCGGTCTTGGGCCATCAGACTGTGTCACAATAATGGCAATAATGACAGTGATTATCATCATTATTCTTTTGGGAGAGGGAGATGGGAGAGGAATTTTGCCCTGGTGGCTTAAAAAAAATCAGAGAAGCCTGAGGACATCTCTGAGGCTGGTGGCTGAGTGAACAAAAGGCAGGAGGGGTGCTGGGCAGACTCGGAGGGGATGAGCCCTTGGCTGCGGTGTGGTGGGGCATGCTTGGACCCTGCCTCCTCAGGATGCTGCAGAGCCAGATTTGCCCTTGCTCTTGCCTGGGGAAGGCTGGGCAGGTGTTGGGGAGAGGCTGTCTCCTCGCCCCAGGGTCCTTCCCCTCCTCTTTGGCTGTGATTATCACCCCCTTCCGGATGCCCGTTAATTAATGGGAAACAAAAGAGTCAGAGAGTGGGGATTGGAGTTTATGGTGCTGGCGGGGAGGGTGTAGCCAGCAGGGCAGGAGCGCACTGTGCAGAGGAGGCCAGGTCAGTGCTTGGAGAGGTCTGTTTGCAAGAAGGACACAGCTTCATGAACCTCTGTCCTGTGGGGCTGGAGACAGGCCCTTGCGTGACCCCCATCCCCTGGGCACCCAGCGGCACTGGATCTCACAGAGTTGTTTTCAAAGAGTTGAATGTGGTGGAGGCCTTTCTGTCCTGGAACCGCCTGGCTCCAACCCCCTTGAATCACAATGTGGGCCTGGGAGATCACCCAGGGCAAGGGGCTGCTTCTGTCTAAAGAGTAACCCTCAAGAGGTGCCCACAGGTGTTGAGGCAGCCCCAAATATTCAGAGCCAATGCACCAGCCCTCTTGGAAGATTCTGGCAAAGGCGACAGTCACCTATGACCCCGAATTCTCCTGGTGCCTGAGAGAGGAGAATCTGCTCTGAGATGACCCCATGCAGTGGGCAGAACCTTGGGGCTACAAGATTGCTCTGCTCTCTGGGGGTCACAGCAACTTTTATGGGAAGCCCCGTCAGTGTCCAGAGGTGTCAGAGAGAGGCCTGCAGAGAGTGTGCTGGCACGGGAGTGCTCACCGGGCACTCGGATCTGCCCCAGGCACCTGAACCATAGCCTTGCTGACTTTGACTGGAGCTGGCCTGTCTTCCCTGCCCGCACTGCTATGGCTGTGCTGGGTGCTCTCCCTGGTGCTGCCCAGAGTCCAGGCCCCTCTGTCTTCCTCTAGCCTGGGGTCACTGAATGTGCCCAGGAGGACATGGGTGACTCTGTGTGGGCGTGTGGGTGGGGGCAGAGGGGATCTGTATCAACTCTGGTTGAGGAGACTGTGGTGTGCATGCAGCAGAGGCCAGCTGACCGCCCTCCTGGTGGTGCCCATGCCTGGGCAGTGGCTGCAGAGTGTGGACAGCTGGTTTGCCTGGACCAGCACAGGGCAGAGATGGTAGGACAAGGTGCCTGCAGACTCACAACATGGCAGAGAGGTGCCCCTGGGCCTCCACAGCTGCCCTGATGGTGGTGGGCAGGCTGCTGGGGCCGGGCTCATTCTGGGTGGACTTGGTGTTAGAGGTGCGTCTGCCATGGTGGGGAGTGAGTGAGGCACGGGGCTGTTCACCCCCCACCTGAGCTGGGGAAGGTGGGACAGGAGCTGCTAGAATACCTTGGTCAGCACTGGCCTAGAGTGGATGGGGAGGCCAGGAGCTGGCCCAGCTGGCAGGGCCGAGGGGTGGCAGCCAGGTGGGCGGGGGCTGCTGGCAGTCACCTGATCCTCGGGCAGACAGGGCCCTGGGCGGCAGTCACATTGACCGTCATCAGGCCTGTTGGAAAGACAAACGCTGTGCTGGTACCGCCCTGGAAGCCTCGTTCCAGATCCCTTTTTCTTGGCTTTTACCTTGTGGGAAGCTGGCAGGAGAGCTGAGAGGGTGCCTGGCTGGGCCCCCCACCCGCCTCCAGCTCCTAGATCCTCCTCCTCTGCTCTTTCCTGTGAACTCACTCAGGAATAAATCAGAAGCTAGTTGTCTATAAATGTAATTTTGACGGGAATTTTGTGGTGTGAGTTTTCAGTGAAATGGTCTTTGGGGGCCGGCGTCATTGGGGGATTAGTCAGCCTGAAAAATGCTGTGCTTCCCAGAAAGGATGAGAGCAGCTGCCCCTGGGGCTCCCTGGCGGGTGTGCTGCTCCCTGAAGACCCAGGGTCTGTCCTCTCTTGGGCCTCTCCCCGGGGCAGCCCACTGCCCAGCCCAGGTGCTTCTGGGTCTTTGGGTGGGGTGTCTTGAGGTTCTTGGCATATTCCCTGTCTTTCCTGGACAGTTAAATTCCCCCGGATTTTGCTTAAAGGAAAGCTTGGAACAAAGTGGGAGAGACGTTTTCCACTTAAGATGCTTTTGCTCTCAGACCCCGTTAGGTTGGCTTTAGAGAGAACAGATTAATAAATACTTGCAAGTAGGAAGCACAGCGTGCAATCGACTTCTTTTTTTTTTTTTTTGCTAAGGAAGATTAGACCTGAGCTAACATCTGTGCCCATCTTCCTCTCCTTTATGTACGGGGCACCCCCACAGCATGGCTTGACAAGTGGTGCGTAGGTCTGTGCCTGGGATCCGAAGCTCAGGACCTGGAAGCAGAACAGGAAAACTTAACTGTTACGCCACCAGGCTGGCCCCCAATCAACTTCTTTTCTATCTTCAATGTCACTGGAGCAGACCTGGTGCAAGTTTGAGCCCTTTTGCTCCTCAGTGGACTCCTGCAGGGAGGAGAACATGAGTTTTTCTTGTGAGAAGAGGGGCCTTACCCATTGCTTCATCCTTTTTTCATTTTTAAGTTTGCACTTGAACAAATGCAATGCTATTTTAATCAGATGGCATGGACATTGTAATGCGCCCCAGCCAGGCCGTGTCAGGACTGTGGCCTGGGAGCAGCTGCCGCATGGAGGGTGCATGTGGGACAGGCCCTCGAAGGAGTGGTGTGCTCGGTGGTCCTGCTTTGCTCAGGGTGGCTTGCCAGGTGTGCATGTGGACGTGTGATCCAGACGTTGGGAGGAAAATCGGACTTGCCATATGGGCTGAGCTGCTGACAGATGAGCCTGCCAGGCTCCCACCTCGCCCTCACGCCTGGCTTCACACCTGATCGTGTGCGACTTTGGTTTGAGGGCCCCAGCAGAAGCCATCTGGGTTCTCTCCTTTTTTCCTATTTTGTGGCCTAAAAACCACACAGTGGAAGAGCAGCATGAGCGAGAGGTCCCTGGAGCTGCCGGGCCAGTGGGCTCCTCTCACGGCAGCCAAGGCACCTCCAGGACCCCGGCTGGCCCGCCCCTGCCTTGGAGGGAGGGGTCCTGAGTTCTCTGCTGGTGGGAGCTTGGGTGCATTATGCTCCTGGTGTCTGCTCTGGAGGTCCTAGAGAATCCCCACAGTGCCTGGACCTCCAGCCATCAGCAGAGCCTCAGTGTGACACCCTGGGTCCAGTGAGCCAGACCCTAGCTTCGAGGCCCCCAGGCACCTCCTTCGTTCCCTGCACGTGTGGCTGAGTCAACTTCAGTCTTTACACCTGCAGGGTTTATTGAATTCTGAAAGTACAATGGCTTCGTCAATTGTCCCTGTGGGCAGCCTGGCACAGTTGCCATCTTCACAAGGTGCTTCACAGACTTAGAACCTCGCCGTGACCTAAATGAGGTGCTTCACAGACTTAGAACCTCGCCGTGACCTAAATGAGGTGCTTGGGGACAAGGGCCTCCCAGCCCTGGGTTTCCCGGGACAGCAACCATCCTAGGGCCCTGGATTCTGTGATTCAAGGGAGCCTGCCCACCCACCAGACTGCTAAGTCGACACTTAATTGGCTTGTTAGTCGTCGGTTTGCACATGGAACTGTACAATGTCTCACACATTCTACCCTTTCCAAAGTTTCGTTTAGGCAAAAACAGGAATTTGAAATTGTGAGGGCTTACTACGTTTGACACGGTTTTCACTGAGACTGGGCCATCATCTATAAAACGGGACCAGAAATATGGCTGGGGTCATGAGGG